TTATGAGATTCTGGATTTCATCTTCATAAGGGGCAATCTGGAATGTTTTATTTCCTAGGAGGGGGAAAAATAGCTTTTATCTAAAGATGGATTATTAGAAATACAGCTGTCCGTCTGTCGCAGCAGAAATCTGAAAAACTTGTACGCGTGCATTTTATATCAAAAAAAATTTCTTTTTTACAGAAATTTATATACATATTGCATGATAAAATTCAATAATTCCTGTTTTAATTTTCCTGGGTTTTTTTAAATTTGAGCTCTAAATTTTAAACACCTGAATTTTATTTAATTAGATGGAATATTATTTCCTTAAAACTACATTTTTAGTAAAGTTTCTTTTTTTTAAAAAAAAAAAAAAATTTTTCAAGAATGGTTTTATTTGAAGGAAATTAATTTTATTTTGTGTTACTATACGCTTATTGTGAAAATAAAATTCAAAGTAAAACATATAAACTAAAACTAAACTCAGTGGCTCAACAGTCCGTGAGGTCCATACATATATTTGATACAAAAAAATGAAAGAAATATTGAAACAATTTATCTCCATTTATATAAATCCAACTTTTACAAAAATTACTGAAATGAATGAGTTGAAAAAAATAATAATTTTTTCCACTTTATTTCTGACATATATATTAAATTACTCTAATACAGAAGGTAAAATTCTATAAACGATAACATGACTGAAACGATATAGATCAGAGTAACGATTTGTGTACGATATTTTGAACTGTTAAGGTATCCGACTACGTTCGGAACCGTGATTTTAAAAAAGCGCATAAATGGATAATTTTCATGATATTTAGTGTCACTTAGATTAGAATACATGTATAAAATTGTTTTAAGGACATTTTGACAAAAAAATATTTAAGTACTATATTTCGGCAAAAAATTAACTTAGATTAACCTTTTTTCAAAATGATCTCCTTTTGTGAAAAATGCTTCTATTCTAATAATATTTTGCCTGTACATAACTCAGACCTCTGTACAGAGGCTCAACTATGATTTTTGAAAAATTCACATTATTTTCAGAGTTACAACTATTTGAAATAATTATCGGCGTTTTTTTCTTAAAATTTCTCCCCTGTGTTGTGTCGCAAAACATGGATAAACCCACTTCTAAGTTAT